TGCTGAATATTCAGCTTTTCATCACAGGAATAAATTACATTTAAAATATGTATTCAAATAGAAAATAGTTATTTTAAAATTTAATAATATTTCACAATATTACAGTTTTTGCTGTATTTTTGATCAAATAAATGCAGCCTTGGTGAGCACAAGAGAAGTAAAACAAAACAAAAAAATTACAAAAAACTTTAAAATGTCAACAACAATTTAATTTGTGTCTATTTCTATTCCTCCTAAGAAGCTATATGAGAAGCATCAGAAAAAGTTGATACTAGGAAAGTGATAGATATTTTTAGGGCCTCCAGGACCCCCCATTTGGCCTTCAGCAACTGGATAAGGCCCATGAAAACCAGAGATACCCCATATTTGGAACAATGGAACCCAAAATGTAAGGTAAGCATACTATTGAGTTGCCATGTGCTTCTAGTGTATCATAAAAGTTTCTCCTGCATTTGTTCTGTGGTGTGTAAGAGCCTGAAGAAGCATCACTGTTCAGTATCTCAGCAGTGCAACAGTAGCCAGTTATTTTCTTCAAGATATTGAAGTCTGATTTAAATGGCAGAACTGAGAATCATATGTGTTAGTGATTACAGTAGAGCAGGCATTCATCCCCATCTGGGGTTTAGTGTATCAACCGATGCTGGGTTGTGCGGTGACTGGCTGTGGAGGAGAGCGGAGGCAGCCGCCAGATGAACGGCCCACAGTGGTTAAGGACTGGGGAACAAGAGGGGAATGGTAGGGTGCAGGGGATGATGGTGGAGGGGAGGGAGACCCCCTAATTACACTGTAAACACAACTGTTGATGGTACTGTAAGTGTAGGGCAGCGATCGTTTTCCACATGTGTTTGATTGTGTAGCACAGCTGGCAGCAGCACTCAAAAATGTTTTGGTGTGATGAAGTTTGGTTGTCGCGCCGCCGACTAAAAGTTGGATGAATTCTTGGTAGTTACAGGCATACTTGAGGTTTTTGGTGGTGTAACAGTCGATAGCTGATGCAAGTGGCAGGTTGTTTGTAGCTCAATAGGTTTTGACTCCATATTGTCAAATGCGCTGTATAAAGCTCATCGATTATCTGCAATATGCTAATATGCTACAATTAATGTGCTACCCTGCCTAAGGTCTACAGCACATAGTTTTATGCTAAACTTCTTTTACTGGTACTTCTGAACTTCTGGTACTGGCTAAACTTTCTAGAACTTATTATTTTATTTTATTCAAATATAATGACAAATAAATATACATATATAAATACATATTTAGCATATTGCTTTGTTGCAGGACTTCCTCATTGGTAAGGTGGTCGTAGAAATGAATGCCCAGTATTCTACCTTGAGAGAAATAGTAGCTGATGCCTTCCACGTTTCTGCTGCATAAGTTGCCATCAGAAGGATGAAAGATGCATATAAGCAAAGCTTGATGTTAAGTGAGATCGATGTAGATGACCAGATTTTGCACATTTGTTGAAAGACTGTTGATGCCTTGCCAATCCGGCATTTGACGTCGATCTCTGCATCTCCATCTCATCCAATAGTGCTGCCGAGGTATGTAAACTAATCGACCTCTTCGATGTTGCATCCATCAACCATTTATATATAATTTTAAATACAATTATATTATATTATGATATATTATACTATATTATATTATATAAAAAATCTATTAATAAATAGTAATAATTATATATAATTTATTATCAAAATATATATTAAAATATCTATATAATTTTAAATAATACAATTAATAATTAGAATAATATTAATTATTATATTATACATTTTTATATTTTATTTATTTTTATATGTATATTTATTAGCATTATATTTGCATTTGAATACTTTTATCATTCTAATAAACTTGCAGGAGGTGGTGACTTTTTTTTAATTTTTCCTTGGAGTAAGGTATTTGTTTTTAATTGAACAGCCATGCAATTGTATACTTTTATTGGGAAAATAAAAGAGCTCCGCAAGTATAATTTGCCCTTCAAGAAACATGTGTTTCTGTTTAATGATTACAGTCTTTAACTGCGTGCTGCCACCACACAGCATCTCTTGCCCACCCGAGCTCCCTGACAAAGGTTAACCGGCTATATCATCAGCTGAGCCTGTCCTCATTCACTTCAAAGCTCCTCTGCCACGCTGCAGCTCCCCGGCCTCAGGCACAACAGGCCTTTTTTATTGGTGAGAAGCCTGTCGAATTGTTCTGACAGACGAGGACAAAAGACTGACTGTGGATTTGTGCTGAAAAGGATGTAACACTGGCACAAAGATGGTCAGGACTTCCCAAATGCATTTTGAACAATTTATTTGTCTAATAAGACTCGATCTACTAGCTCTGCATAAATCTGTCAATATCTGTTACAGCTGATACCTTGCATATAAACCTCCCGGTGTTGAGTTCTTGTCTGAACATGCATGACTGAGCTAGGAGGTGGTAAAATAGGTGAGTTGGGGGTCTGTTTGATGCCTGAGGTCAACTCAGGGCACTGTTACAGGTGGTTGTGGTTGAATGGAGTGCATTACTGAAATGCTTCACATCTCCGCCTTATTCTTGTCCCCACAATGAGTGACAGCAGAAAAGCTCTGCTTACGACCTGCTGTGCTGCCCCTTTTACCTCTGTCTGTCTGTCTTTTTCTTTCACACATACAGATACAGTCATTACAGTTCACTCCTCTATGTGGGTATATTCAGTTTCCTGATTTTTGATCCAGTTTGTCATTGTCTTCAAAACCACAGATGTTTGGTTTACATTCCTCTCTTGAAGAACAGCGCAGGCTGCTTTGCTATTTTCTCTCACTTTTTCCCCCCACATTTGGAAAGTGTAACAAATAGTTTTTCACAGCTGTAGGGCTTCAAAGGACTGGAAAGGATAGATCTCTCGGAGATAAACCAGTGATAAACATTCTTTAAACATTCATCTGAGATCTGTTTTAAAATAGAGGCCATTAACATTTTTTAAAATAGCACACAGTTGGCTGACATTTATGGCAAATGAGAATTATTTTGGAATTGTCTACGCAAATCCTCTAATCAGCATAAACATTACAGATAAGTCAGAAAAGGACGGTAAGAAAGGTGAAACCATACAAATGTCACCCTTCCACATAGTTTGTCTTAAAACTGAGCGGGAATCTCATCTCCTGTTAATATTTCACCATATAAAAATTCATTTTAATTAGTTTATTTCTTTAATTGTAACAATATTTTCATGACAATTAAGCAGATTTTTGCACAAACATATTACATCGTGTACACTGTGTAATAAATACATAAATAAAATAAAAACTAGAAATAATAATAAAAAATATGTTAGGAAGTTGTTGTGACTTGTTTTTGTAATACCCATTATTCTCAGTGGCATTACCATGGAAGCCTGTTTTCGCCACAGGATTAAAAAAGTATTTGCAATTTTTTTTTTTCAGAATTGTGAGGAAAAAGTCCGAATTGTGAAATAAAAATTCTAATTTAACTAAGTTTACATCTCGCAATTCTGAGTTTATATCTCGCAGTTCTGATTTTTTTCTCTGAATTCTTAGCTTACATCTCAATTCTGTGTTTTTGTTTCCACCATGGAATAAAAAATTAAAAAAGGTCATTTTTAATCTCACAATTAAAAATTTAATTCTGGCTTTATATCACAAAATCCTGACTTTTTCTTATTGCGAGAAAAAAGTCTGAATTGTGAGATGAAAAGTCACAGTTACCTTTTTTCATTTTTTTATCCCATGGCAGAAATGGGCTTACATACATTTCTGATTCTGCAATATTTTACTAATTTTAAATCTGCATAAATTACAGTACAGCAAATAAACCTTGATATTTAAATAATTTGCTATTTAAATATATTTCCCTTGCTTTACACTAATGATAATTAAGGGGTAAAGTGTTTAATTGTCATGAAAATAAAGTAATTGCAAAAATGAAATGTAAAAAAAAGAAAAGAAAAGAAAATGATATTAAAACATTAATAAAACACTTAATAACTGTATAAAATACACCTGGATACATTTTTCTTAGTTATTTAGTTAGTTAGATAGCGAAATATGACCTGGACACCTTCTTGACAGATTTTGAGAGATTTACTGTGAGATAATTTCCTTCTGAGATTTTATTTATGTGTAGATTTCATGTTTAACTGAACCTTAACAAAACTAAGAATTATTACAAGAACAACTGCACAAAGAACTCAAACTGGGCTCTCGAAAGCACAAAAGCTGCTCTCTTCACCTAAAGTAACCACAATAAAGATCGGATGTGGGACATCAGCCATACTATCAAGCGGCCATATGGTTTCAATCACTGCTGCTCACCACTGTATGTCACTAAGATTTCATATTCACCCCTAGTATTCACACACGTGGTCCTGTTGATTTTTTTAAGCATAGATGGCTGTGATTCTGTCATCAGTGCACTGGAGGGAGGGTTTCTAGAGGGGAGGGAGATGAGGAGAGAGAGAGAGAGAGAGTGTGTGTGTTGGGGACGTTGGAGTGCGTCAGAGCGCACTGGCTCCCCTCACTCCAAACTCACTGCATCTCCTTTCCAAGAAAACTCCTCCAGATTTCAGGAAGCCTCTGGATTGCTTTATTTGGATGTACCGACAAATATTACAAACCATCCTAAAGAAGGATAGCGGGAGTTTAGATTGTTTTATCAGCGCAAAAGGAGGGAAAGCGCCGTTACGCGTCGATTTGAGAGATTTATTCGACAATTTTGGAAGCAGCGTTCAGGACGCGCATAATGGATCGATAGTACGAACTTCTGGGAGTGTAAAGAAGCTCCTCTAGACACCGTGAAAGCGCAATTTTTGGTGGAATAAAGGATCGTTACAGATTGTATGTCACTAAGATTTCATATTCACCCCTAGTATTCACACACGTGGTCCTGTTGATTTTTTTAAGCATAGATGGCTGTGATTCTGTCATCAGTGCACTGGAGGGAGGGTTTCTAGAGGGGAGGGAGATGAGGAGAGAGAGAGAGAGAGTGTGTGTGTTGGGGACGTTGGAGTGCGTCAGAGCGCACTGGCTCCCCTCACTCCAAACTCACTGCATCTCCTTTCCAAGAAAACTCCTCCAGATTTCAGGAAGCCTCTGGATTGCTTTATTTGGATGTACCGACAAATATTACAAACCATCCTAAAGAAGGATAGCGGGAGTTTAGATTGTTTTATCAGCGCAAAAGGAGGGAAAGCGCCGTTACGCGTCGATTTGAGAGATTTATTCGACAATTTTGGAAGCAGCGTTCAGGACGCGCATAATGGATCGATAGTACGAACTTCTGGGAGTGTAAAGAAGCTCCTCTAGACACCGTGAAAGCGCAATTTTTGGTGGAATAAAGGATCGTTACAGAGAATTAATTAGTTATATAGTGTTAGACACCGTTTCAGAACGACGTGCGCTGTGATGGATGGAGCAGTTCTCTTGATATCGATGCTGGTGTTGGTTTTCTCTGGAGATGTATGGAGCGCGTCGTATCCTCAGCGGTATAACCTTTACGCAGGGACCCAGACTCAGACGCAGCCTTTAAACGGGGCGAGAGCAGCGAGCAGACACAGGTAATAACATTTTCATTTCAGCAAATCAATCTGCGCTCTCATATTCTTAATATGACGAGAGAAAGAGAGAGTGAGAAAGTCTGTATTGTGAAAGAAGATAGATGTGCCATGTTGCTAATAAAGTACCATATTATTAGTTTATTACATTGGTTCCACTTTAATATGATAGATAGATAGATAAATAGGTAGATAGAAAGATGGATGGATAAATAGATGGATGAATAAATGCATATAAATGTGCCACAGTATGTGTGTATGTGTATGTGTGTGTGTGTGTGTGTGTATGTGTGTGT